TGTTATGAGCTCCCTTGTGACCGGTAATAACGGTGAAGTCGTTGCTCGGGACGGATTACCTTGTCCAGTGCCAATGTCTGATTGCAGACAGAAGCCGTAGTGCTTCCCCTGCGAGTGTACGATTAGCTCTGTGTATCTAATCTCACATGGAGACATTAAAACAACCCCCTCTTCCACCTCGTGCTCCATAACCGAGTTAATTGCTCCATACCTTTAATGCTCCTTGGTTGTGGGGGTGTGGGGGTTGCTGTGTAGATCTTTTTACCGCGAGACCCATTACCCACAATCCCCTTCGTCCAGAGCTGCAGCTAGATGAGTTGCAGGGTGACCGTGATATTGGTGGATAGCTAAGGGGGTGGTGTGAGGGTATTTGGTCTTGTTAGATGTTTGCTTGCGTTCACTTTACGTTGATGAACACTGAGAATTTTGAATGTTTCTACGAGGACAGAAATAGCAGTTTTATATTATTTAGTGGTAATAGCAATTTTTGTGAATTGCTATCAGCAGGCGCTTTGGCGATGTGTATCAGCTTTTATCGTCGTTAATGCTGGGAGTAAAGAAACTGCTGGAGTACCGACACACCGCAACCCCGCTTGCAAAAGCATCAACAGGCCTATCAGATTTTGAAACCTGGTGTATATTGCGTGTATTGTGCATTGGGAGTTAAGATGCACGTGGACAAAGTTCCGTGGGAGTTTAACATTGTTGAAACCTTCTACAGAAGGGGATTGCTGAAGTTAAGCTCTGGTGTGAAAGAGCCCATGGCTTCTTGAGTAACAGTGAATTCGGGAGAGAGATTATTTTGCGTTCTGAACTGTTGTATGCAGATGATTCTGATTCATAATGGGCAATAGGCATAATAGTTTTGGATGAAAGTCCTTGTGTCGGCGTGCCACAAGTAAAGCAAAGTTTAATTCATTGCTGAGAGGTCGGATCGTGTACAATCCTGAGATGCATTCTAATTAATTTCCTTGCAATTTTTGTTCTTGTTGTCTCCCATCATAATTGGGATTTTTTTTACTTTTAGCGTTATTATTTAATTTCATTGTATGCGAGAACACGTTGTTTAATGATTCTCTTCTTCTTAGTATGAAAGCTCCTACGTATTTAACTGTACAGGCTACGATGGTTTCCATTCACATTCCTATAACGCTGCGTATGTGTCTTGTCCAAAATATGTTTAATTTCTTCTCTCTTTCAGGTATTTTATTATACGTTTAGTTATGTGATAGGCATATGAATATATTAATTAGTCTTGTCACTTGCCTTCATGACCAGTGTAGTCAGCATTAATAATACAGAGAATGCAGTAGAAAGATTTAGTTCTACATTCATTTATATTTAACAGTTGTAACCCTACCTAGAGTCTTGTGTTTCCTCGGAAGTTTTATGTGTCTGGCGAAATATCGGTAGTCTAAGAGAAAACTGGAGTATGTTGGTCTTCTGGACTGTAACGCCGTGCGGACCTGAAAGTAGATACTAGCGTTTTGGATAAATGCATTGCTTCCTTCTTCAGGACTGGAAAACGCTGGTATCTGTCCACACAGCGTTACGATGCACATGACCAACATTGGCATGTTCATCGCCGTGAAAACACCAAATCTCATAAGGAATTCGTGTTCGCCCGTTTTAGCAGGTTCAGTGACATTATTGTCTTAGCAGTAGGTCCATAAACATTGCGTTTCAACCCTTCACGGGGGTGGGACAGGGATGTGACCCCAGTGACCTTTAGTCTTTTCCCCGCATGCAGGTCCAAGTGGAGCATACAGCCCTGACGGAGCCTCCATGGGGTACATGATGGATGGGCAGGCACAAATGATGCACCGACCGCCTGGTGATCCTAGCTTCCACAACGAGTATCACTACCCACAATACTATGGACACCTGTAGTACCTCCCGTCGCCACCAACAGGTAAGACATTGCATGCAGCTGCAGCGCTAAGAATTAACACGTAATGCGAATGCTCCAGTAAGTACTGGCTGACTTACTTAACTCGTCGAAATGATAGTTGTAAGATTAACGTTAGACATTTCCTTAAATATTTGTACGTGTTGAGGGAACTGTTCGTTTTGAGATGTAATTACCGACGTTGACAACACTGTATTTATAGAATGGCACACCTGTCTATACAGGTACCAGACAGTACACATCAGTCACTTCGTAACAAACAGATTTGTGCCAAATATATGACATGTACAGGAGCCATTGTCGCAAGCTGTTATAACAAAATAATACGCTGCGTTGATCAGTTAGTGATCTTCAAGAACAGATTTTTTCCTATTTCCAATTTAGTTTTGTAGTTATTTCGCTTCTCGGTATTGCATTTAAAAATTTTCATATATTCTATGCACATTTCGACCAGGGGAGTAGATTGGGATGTCTATAGATCAAGCCAACGAAAAGTTGGGACCGAAGTGCTCAGGCACTTGAAGAACGGGTCGTTACCAGTATCCCAGTAAGTAGCTACCTCTGTGCAGTCGTCTTTTGTAGTCAGAAGGTCCATTACCGTATCACAAGAGCCTGCCACTAGTCCACACCCCCTTACGATCCATTTTAATAGTTTAGTTCTTTCTCCGCCAAATTCCTTGACTGATACATGATGATTTCCCGTTTATTGTCTGCAGCAATCTTGGAAATTAAGCAAATTACGAAAGTTAGGGTAATATTTAAATATTAATCTAATTTCAATGTTGCCAACGTGATGTATGTCGATGAACAGCATGTATTAGTGTTGTTGATTAGAATTAAAATAATCCGACTGAAGGTGGCTTAAGTAGGAACTCTCTCTACTTCCAAACAGTTAGCGTTACAAAAAGACCCAGGTCTCTGAGGAACGTGTGGATTATCGTCTTCAGAGGTGTGGCGTCGTATAGTCTTTATTTTGTTGTCAAAATTTCGTATTGCCTCTGTCTTCGGGATAGCACGTTACTAATCACCTACAAGACTACGCGACGTCACGTTCCCCGAAAACAACAAAGTACATTTTCACTGGCGTGAAGACCTAAAGTATCACAGGCCTGTAATGTTTATGTTATTGGGATTGTGTTTAGCGTTGCAGTGTGGGTAACGCGACACCAAGTCACTGGAAGTGAAGCTTTAGAAAACTTGAGAAATGCATTGAAAATGTTAATGGGAAAACTTTAAGAGAATTGGATGTCTCATGTGGACGGATAATATTGAAATGGATCTTAAAAGATATATGGCATGAGGACGTAGACTGATACAGACCGGTCGTTGGCTTTTGTGAAAACGGTAATGAATATTCTTCTGCTTTATTACAAGTCGGCCAATTTCTTGACCGACTGAGCTACAATTGTCTTCTTCAGGAGGACTCTGTTCTCTGTGGATGCTTGGTTAGTTGCATTTACCTAGCTGAAGAAAATAGTTTTGTGCGTTATGTGAGTTACTGTAATTGACCGTGGTCGAATGTATGTCAGTTTAGATAGGCCAGTTTGAAAAAAGTTACGCGTAATAATTTTTTCATGTTTAAAACGTAGTTCAGTGAAAGGAACACCGAGAGTGTATTTTATATATAGGTCTATTTACACATTTCACTGTTATTTTTAGCACGGATGACATACTTCTTATCGAGACTCGAAAACATGATGGGTTAAAGTTGTTTTGGAAATACAATGCAGTATTTACTTCTTCAGTAAGATTTTGTCCAAGTATAAGAACTCCGAACGGTGATATCAGTTTCGTCACAAGAAATTTACAGAATAATGCTGGCTCTGTGCTACATTTGTCAACGCGTGTACAATGTATAAGTATTAAAAGTTGTTCCTACATATTACTCGGAGCTCTTGGTCGCTATGGCAGAGTGGCTAGAGATAAATTTTGTGGTGCGTAACCGCTGAGGAGTGTGTTATTCTTGATGGATGTATACTGTGTTGAAGTTATGATACCGGAAAGTAACGTCGGTGGACTACAGTTGTCCATTATATCTTCTAAAAGTTTTAAATCTGGTTATATTTAACATTGTCTCTAATGTATTTCGTGCGTGCATTTCGCTGACAATTAGGTACAAGTGAGACACTAATGGAAGTATTTAAAATTCTGGAATCACAGAAATGCAGTGGACTGTGTAAAATAATGGCTTGCCTCAGAGTTTCAGAAATGAGTTATTTGTTGCTTTTCGTCTTGTGCACTGTTTTAAGTAAATTTGAATTATTGCTTTTACGCTAGTTAGTATGTCGACTAACGTGTTATCGGTCAGAGAAATTCTTATTTTCGTGTACCTTATTTTTCTCACTGAATGCATTTTGTCAGTTGGCGATATTTGCTTGGATTTATCGCTCGTGTTCTTGCTTTATTTTGTCGGGAAGGTTTGCCGACTGTCACTTTAGCAACTGTTGTCTACTTCAACCTGTTCGTAGTTACACTTGCTTACTATTGCCTGACATTTATCATTTCCGCATGTCTTGAGCCAAACACCACCCATAATAAAAAAGACTTACGGTCTCCACAAACCACTGATAAATAAATCGTCTGTGTCGTAGTATGTTATTACCAGACACCCTTTCTTGTTACACACCAATTACAATGTCTTTGTAATTATTTAGAGACATTTATTAAAAGTTATGCTCTTTGTTGATATGGGTGCAACACTTCACAAACTTTGATGACAGTAATAATAGTTAAAATGACAACTCCGTGGAGCAAAATCCTTCTTGAAAAGATGATGGTCTCTGAACTGTTCAAAGAGATTCCCCGAATTTTTATGGAAAGGTTTACCTGGCCGAATTTTAACGATTCCCTTGGCATCTGATTGAAGAGGCATAAGGAAGTACGAAACATTTTATCAGAATAACCCGGTTATCTTATCGAATTTTGAACCTGTCTAGCAAAATGTAGGAGTGACATTCTTCATATCACGGTGTTCTGTGCGATCACATTGCACCAACATTTAGGATGTATTGATTTGTCTATGCAAGATGTAAGAAGGTGCTTGTAGTAACTGAACCCGGAGGCTGAGCACAGTAACACGGATATCCACCAAGGACGCGGTCCTATGTCAGTTCTGTATACCTCCCTTCATCACAATTAATCTCCCTAAGATCTTTTTATGTTATGCTCCCATATCCTTCTCGGTCTTCAACGTGGACATTTTATCAGAGATTTCCCAATCAAAATTAGTAGTCGTATCCATTCCGTAGAGTTATATGATAGGTTAATCTAAACCCCAAGCTTCAATATCCCGACATAAACAACGAAGTTCCTCGTCATATACAATCTTAAATTTCTCCTTATTACTTCTTCTTGGGTTCGTGTACTTTTCTGAACTCGTTGTTCTCAAACACTAGTAAGAAAACTCATACAGCACACTTTTATAAGCTCTGTAAGTAGAACATATAACTACTCGTATATCGATTTGGTTCGTTAGATACTCTGCCCAGAGGGTTTTCAGCTGGCCCGTAGCTATATCAGACAGACCGAATTTGTCATTTATTTGTTTACGTAGCTCAAAGGGAGAAAAGCATTTGTTCGCAGGTTAATTCGTCAGCTGTAATGAATATTATCAGTCACAGTGCTGCAAGAGTCGTATGAACAACATAATGAGTTCTGGCCTTTTCCACGTCTGTTATTAATTTACCATTTCGTGATCATGCCATTTGTTGCAAGACAATAGATTGCTTCGAGCTGACTTTTATTCACGTTATAAATCTTTTTTAATCGTCGTGAGTAAAGTGCTATAGCATATTTGTTAATTACGATATTCTAATTCAGTTCGAAACAAACACGAATCTAGCTGTGTAAAATGGTAGTTCGAACGGTTTAATTTCTATTGACATGTCTTTGTAAATGCTGCCAGTACCACAGATACCTCGTGCGTACTTTTGTGTGTTTCTAAGAAATGTGTTGCTCATTTATGTGTTTACCTATTGAGTGCAGCTTGGTGAACGTTTAATTGAATTATAAAATCCGCTTTTTGATACCTCTGAATTAATCTGAAGTTTAATGAAGGTCTATGCTGGGTTTGCATGCTTTGAAGCTTACTGCACGAACATCTAACATCACCGCTCTATGGTATAAGTTTCGTTGCACGCATTCTAAGAGGTAAGGAGAAAGCACTATTTTATTTATGTGATATGATATTAACAGGTGAAAGGGAAATTTGCATGCAGACGTATGGGGAGTGGAGGTATAGCTTTACTCATTCTTAACCTCATTGGACATTTAGCTGGGAGATTTCCAGAGCCGGTTAGGACGTAGTAACGTGCCGGAAATCGAATCTCAGTCTTCAGCGCCAGTACTCTAGACATTATACTGACCAAGCTACACCGGCTCGTATAATTTTAATAAAATACGTATTTTTCTTACTAGCACTAATATAAATTTTGTAGTATTTTTGGTACATGTACTTATCAGCAATCTGTGACAAAGCTAAATAATGAACGGGTTGATGAGAATTTTCATTTGTGGTGTTTAATGTGTGTTCGCAGTTATCATAGCGGTAATACCATTTTTTAGACGGAAAACCATGTCTTCTTTGACCAGATGCCTGAAAAAGTTTATGGACTTTTATTCATTAAACAGTTCCAGTATCATAGGCTGTAGAACCTGGTTGTGATGCGTGTACTAACACTCACGGAACCTCTGATGAGGGACTTGTGTTTTTGCTATTTTTATCTTAGTTTTGTGCCCCTATAAAACCACTGATTTCGTACAGTTTTCCGGTACCGCTGTAAGTGGACTGCCTCGGAGAAGAATGTTTAGAAGGCAAGTAGCTGGAAAATGGAGAGAAGTGCACATCGAGGAACTTCACAGTTTTAATATTATTAAGGCGAATTAATCGAGGATATTATAGGCGGGGAATGTAGCACGTGTGGGTGCGGGTGTATAGAGAATTTTATTTGGAAGAAGTGATAAGGGACACTTTCGAGACCTAGACAAAGACGGAAGCTCGCATTACAATGGATTGTAAAAAAAATTGGTGTGAGGATGTGGATTGGGTTAATCTGGCTCGGGACATTTCTTTCATAGGTGGTATGTTGTGAAACTATTAATATGTCTTTGGGTTCCACTAAATTCAAGTTGTTTGTTAACCCACTGAAGGACTTAGTTTCTCAAGAATGACTGCTCTGTTGAAATAATATGTTATAAATACCTGAAAGTATGAGCTAAGCTCGACCACGCCTCTTAGCTTTGCCCTTACCTGTCCGTCTGCATGCCTTGGCGCTCGCATCGTTATTGTGCTGAATTGATTTTTCTTTTTTCTTTCTTTCTTTCTTCTTTTTTTCCCCCATTAAACGTCCGAAGTGATTCACACACATTCACTTCCTCGGCGAAACTGGATTTGAAACTACTTTCAGAAGTTTTAAGCTCAGATTTACGGTACATGATTCTTTCCCACTTTTGAGAACAGTTACCATACACTAACTTCATGGATCAGAATATTTCTTGAGAAGCTAATAGTACGTTCAGCTAATCAAGAAATTCGCGCCTGTTATAGAACCCGTTTACAAGAGCCTGATAAAAGTCTCTAACTTGAGCCACCCTCCAACCCTGTAAGATTCATTCTATTTTTATCCTACCATCTATGCCTAGGTCATCCAAGTATCTCTTCCCTTCAAGATTTCCAAACCAAAATTCCGCACGCATTTCTCATCTCCTCCATGCACACTGTCATCCTCTTTGATTAGATCATCCAAATAATATTTCGTGAAGCTACTATTGTGCAGTTCTCTTCAGTATCCTGCCTAAATGGCTGTGATGAAGTGCAAGCTAATTTTGCTGCATGATACGAAACACACATCAGATTTCTGGATCTTGTATGTTGATGTTTTGATGAGGAAAAACTGAATAGACGGAGGCCTGTCAAAAGAGGTGACACCATTATACTCCACTGAAGAATCTTAGTTTAAAATAGATTGTCGTGTCCTTCATATGTATATTTTATTATTTGAAAGTGTTTTAAATGTAGAATTACAAATATGTTTATTTACGTCATTAATTTGTGAATAAGGTGTTGATTACAATGTATACTTTCGCATAGGCTGTGGTGGAAGGTTACTAGCTGCTGCTGTCTCTCAGAAATGTTTGCGACGTGCCATTACTGTGTTTGCCCAACGAACATCAAATTTTGTTCTTTAATATTCCCAATAAGTATAATAGAGGCTATTAATGAACTTTTCTTTAATAGGACTATTATCAACCTTGTTTCAGTATTAAAGATAGTCATAACTTAATTAATAGTGAGTAATGTTTGTTTGTTTTCTTGGTCATAATTAGTAAATTTTAATCTGCAAGGCTTGTTCGGTTCATGTTTTTTTTCTCTTGCATTCTTGTAGCTTGAGATATGTTGTGTGTGTATATATATGCATGTTGCATGTAATAGGCCTCTTGTACTTTTTACGTAAATTACAATTTACTTGGTGTCAGAACTGCACGCTACTTATTTCATGTACGTCTTACCCATATAATTACACATTTTATGGTACCTACTTGGCTATTATTCACAGTAAATTACTGTAATTACCGATTGTTATGTGTATTTTTCCTTTGGCAGTTTCACTTGAAAGACTTTTGCCAGTGTTTGGATTTACGTAAAATGTATTAAGCTTTTTATTTTCAACAAGAGGCAAAATATTGTGACACAGTTATTTGTAATGCTTGTTAGAAACAAAGTACTTTGGCCCTTTAACAATTACTGGTAACTATATGCTCCACCTTTAACAACTAGTAATTTTGAATTTTTCCTACATAATATGTATAAGTGTTTCTCATAGTTCTCAGAATAAGCGGCAATTGTTATTTACCTTTACATCATTAATCGGTTGATACTTCTAATGGAGATGCATTGGGTTTTGTTTGAAACAGGAACTGAATTTTTTTAATGTTATTTAGACAAGCTTCAAAGTGTTAATCATAATAATACTCTTAATATGGAAATTAAAGAATGGTTGTACTGAATACTCAAAATTTCGGCCACTTATGGGATTGATGCTCGGAAAAGGATGTCATTAGGTCTAAATTTATACAAATATTCATTCTTCATTTATCGTTTTTTAATTTATTCAGTTCTGTACTGTCTGAAAATTTACTTTGCCTGCATTTGTATCTTATTATTGTCAAAGCAAATGTATGCATTCGAGTGCAAGCGGTTTTTAAACGGGAGACCAAAATTTTCTGACATACGTCCAAATAAAATACAAACAAAATCAAATAGGCAAGAAGTTCGCTATCTTTCTAGGAACCCGAACGTTGGTTACCGTGTTCAGGAGATCTTCCACCAGTCCCTGTCTTGAGTCAGATGAATCTAATCCACACACCCACAATTTTATTGACTTAAGATCCATTTCAAATTGTCCTTCCATCTGTGTCTAAGTCTTCCGAGTAATCTCTTCCCTTCAGACTGTGCAGTCAAACGTTCGTACGCATTGCTCATTTCCGCGATGTACGCTACATACCCCGCTATTCCATCCTCCTTGCTTTGATGATCCCAATAATATATGGCGAGGAGGACTACAAATTGTGAAACTCCTCATTAGACACGCAATTAATTTATATTTTCTTGAATTTCAGTTGTCCCAAACGAGTTTCTTCAAGAAGACATCTAGTTGGCGTCCGTGTCGCTCATCTGTGCACTTCTAGTGACGTCATTTCCAGTTTGTCCCGTGAGTTGTCGTTATCACCATTTCTCCGGTAAGCCAGAAGTATTGTGAGGACTCGGTCGGCATTTTC